TTCAAACAAATTCTAAAGTTTACCAGCAACCAGTGATGAAATAATGTATCCTCTTTTTAAAGAAAAGAAAGGGGGTGGGGGGTTGTGCACTTGGTGCTTATCCTTTGGTTTTCCATTTTGGGAGCAGGCTCAGTGAGATTAAAGAAGTAAGAGGAGTACTTTGGACGTGTTTATAGAGTGAGTACTCATGAAGCAGTTTAGGAAGACTTTTTATTATAAGAGATAAAACAGAAACATTGCAGGTACCAGGTTGGTTCACGTGTTTGGTGATGAGTTCGTCCTCTTCTCAGTACATCTAAATGTCCAATTTTCACATGTTCTGTGAGAATCTGGACAAAGTCAGGGAGTTCATGACTGGGCTCAGAGTCGCTGCTCATTTTGTGTAACCTGCTTAGCTAACACTAAGTATTTGTTTTTAAAGGATCCAGAGGTCAGAGCTTCCTGATGGATTTCCAGACAAAGATAGATTACCTTCACAAGAAAACAGATACTGTTGCAGCATTTAAATCCATAATGGCATCAGTGGCCATGTGTCGCTCCTGTTTTATTGTTTTCAATCTCTGTTTGGTTTCAAGAGAAATAAATTAATCAATTCAGAGTTTTACGTTCAACACATTTCCCATGACAACTGATACTTGTATGATTTGTAATTTTTGGGATTTGTAATCTTTTTGTATTTCCACCATGTTGTCAAAATTCTTATTCACCATTCTTAAACTTTGTTATGAAGGAGAGAGAGCTTGTGGCTACAATTTGATGCCTATTTCAGGTTGATGAGATCATTTTTGAGCCGTTTAGACTTTTCTTCCTGGTTTCATGAAATTTTGAATGCTTCGTCAGATTGAGACTCCAGACTCCAGGTACCAAGTTTACTTTGAACACCAATAAAGTTCATCTTGATCTTGGCCTGGGCCCAGTTTGCCCTTTAACTTCACATTTATTTAATTTTTTCCTTTGGTGGAGGCATCTGCCAACAAAAAAAAAATGTTTTTTACCCATTGACAAAGAAGAAAACTGCATACTTTGGAGGTTATTATAATATTTTCTTTATTTGATAGAAAGCACATTCATCACTTGATTTCTATGAAGAACAAAAAACTATTTTAATTAATAACCCACCATAATTGAACACCAAATGTTTTTGATCTGCAAATCAAACGGATACAAAGCAAAAGTCTGAAAATCTTTAGCTTTCATCTGTGATGCACATTTCAATACCTCTGCACCCACAGCTGGTGATGTGCTTGTAGGTGTGCTGTACAGTAGAGAGGTCAGAACAATGCAGGGTCACTGTTCTCTTCACTGAGCTCTGCTCCACACAGCATGCGCTATGCTGCACTAGCAAGTCACCGTGTAACACCACCCTGTTTCAAGAGACCAAGGGACGTATAGGAGGAGAGTGAGATGGGATGGAGGAGGCAGGAAAGAAAAACTCACAGGTCTTGCTCTTGACAGCTTGATTTAGTCTCACCTTGGCTGAGATGAACACTGGCCCTGACACAAAGGCATCTGTATGACAGTGCGGCAGTTGTCAATGGTGATGTTGATACTGGACATCTTGGGAGCGCATCTCTGCTCGCCTTGAGGTGGAAGTGATGTCGTACAGGAGGCCATGATAATGAAAATCAAGGAGTACGTGGAGACAGAAGGGGAGGAAAAAACCCATTCAGGACACAATTTATCTGGATCATTTTTTGTGGAGCACCCAAACGCTACTTGGTGCACACAAATTGTAACTCATGCTCATGTTGTCATTGTGTGTATGCAATATACAAAAAGCTTTGTTTAACTCTCAGGACAGCTTGGGCTTTAAGACATGGACTCTTCTAAAATCTTCATGTGTATCAAATTGTAAGACTATGAGTCATGCTAAAATTAAAGATTTATGGTTTTGTAACACAGATCATAAACAGTAAAGTTCACAGTCTAAGCCCCAAGGGGTGTGGCTAAGAAGGTCATCCCATCCCCTTGCACTAAATATGTGCATGTAATCCATGAGCATATCACCAAGATCAGGAAGGCAGATTAAAATAGTATTTCTATCATATTAATTTATCCATTTTTAGAGAACCTCAGAAATGTACAAAAAAAAGAGTTTGGTCTCATCAAGAGGAGTCAAATGTCGAATGCTTCCCCTGCAGTGACTTCCTGTTCTGCTGCTGGCTCTTTGTATATTGATCACATGCTAAGAAATCATAGCATGCACAAATTAATTTAATCAAATCAAAGGTGCCCTCTGGAAGGTAGAATGCTTAAATGTGTGTTCAATTTAAAAAAAACTGAAAGGAAAAAAATGTGTTTCAAGTATGTAACAAAGCTAGTTGTTACATTTTTTTTCTTAGCTTTACTTACATGTATAGCAGCAGTGTTGATCATCCCAAATTCTGCCCTCCTGGAAAATAAATTCCAACATTTAAGCTGTTCGCTGAGTTTCTTCTTTCAAACCTTTAACTATGGTCTGACACCAGTGCATCAGATTTTATGGGTGTTTGTAAACACTGCAATATTGCTGCAGTCATTATCACATTATCAAAGTAAATGCCCTTAATGCAGTATTTAGTTTAGGGATCACCGTGTGGATTTTCAATACCTCAGAGCAGCTTTGACTGGGACAGACTTTACTCTCTGTCTGAATGCCCTCTCTGCTGCAACTAAATGTCATGCAGGGGTGGGCAACATCTGTCCATCTGTCACCCATCTACACAAAGAAAACATAGAAAACGCAGCAAAACAATGTTAACTTGGCTGATCAGATCTGTGAGAAAGAACTCTTTGCTTTGCCGAATAAACAAAGAATAGATTAGTGAAAAAGACCAAAAAGAAGATACCATACCTCGTACATTTGTCCATTATAGTTGCATATCTTCTTGGCTGGAAAACAACAAATAACAACAAGCTCTGAGTTCAGCTTAAGAAAAACAAATATCTGAGTCAGGTAACAGAAAAAAAATTCACTTTAGATCAGTGCAAGCATAGATTTCGCTGTTAAAAAAGGTAAATTACATATCAAATATAATAACACTTTAACATCTGATAGCTTTGGAGTCTACAGTATGATTTAAAATAGGAAAAAATGAAGAAAAACATTTGAATGAGTAGGTGCCTTTGATATCTTTTGACCAGCACTGTGACCCTTATACCATACATTAGAATTGAGAAAAGATGTTCTTACCACACAACTGATCACCACAGCAGGAGGTGGTTAATAAAACCTCACTGGGGCCACAGAGAGGAACTGGCTCAGGAGGTTTTGGAAAACACTCCTCAGTCTGAGTCTGGTTGTTACATGTGCACAGGTTGCAGTTGGACTGCCACACTTCACCAGGCTGGGAAGGCAAGTTCAGGGAATATATTTCTGAATCTACATCCCTATACAGATGAGACTGAATTTTTTTCACTCTTGAAAAGATACTTACAAATTTAGGCTCTCCTCTTGGTCCTTTGCAATCTGTGGGGGAATAAAAAGATCAAAGAAACTCACTTCACTCACTAAATTCCACACTTGTGAGTTTCATGAAGAAATAAAATCTTCTAGTTGTCACTGTAACCCCCCTGTAGTGCAAGTTACTCACAGGCACAGTCAGATACACAGATATGTGAGTGTGGTCCAGCTCTAAACAGGTTGCTGGGGCAGAAACAACCTGCAGTGTTCATTTCAAGGGAGGCTCCTGGATAACGCACTCTGAACAGTCAAACCCAAGAAAATACATAAAGGTGAAAAGCCAACCTACAGTGGTTTTATTCAGA